TGAATAATGCTAACCGCAAGTTAGATACAGAAACTGCTCTGGTGAATGTTCGGAATATTCTCAGAAAGTCTTTTAGAATGATCCACCACAAATCTAAAAGAAGAAAACAAAACTATGAACCCCTGGTGGGACTCGAACCCACAATCCCTGGCTTAGGAGGCCAGTGCCTTATCCATTGGGCCACAGGGGCTTGGTAACATCTGATAGGCTTTAGTACCAGTTAATTATATAAAAAATATTGTCATCATGCGACTATTTTGTACACAATTTTGTCTGTAAATTATTAAGGTGAATGCTAATATAGTCTAATAGAAAGTTGTGATTCCTGCAGATGTTAGAATAGTTTTTGAACAGAAAACTCACTTCAGTTAACCTGGGGATTAGCTGAACTGCATCATTCTTGAGCATAATTTGTAGGTGACGTCACAGGTTACCCAAAGTGCCACTTTTTAATTTATTTTCGAGCTCGTTTCGCAGGTCTTACCTAGTTACCTAGTTGTACTTACCTAGTTGTGCTTGCGGGGGTTGAGCTCTGGCTCTTTGGTCCCGCCTCTCAACTGTCAATCAACTAATGTACAGGTTCCTGAGCCTACTGGGCTCTATCATATCTACACTTGAAGCTGTGTATGAAGTCAGCCTCCACCACATCACTTCCTAATGCATTCCATTAGGTGGAATTCCATTAGGTCTGTGCTGCTTCTAGTGAAATTGCTGACCTACATCTGTTCATCTGAAGCCTGATGCTAGTACTCATTTATTTGATAACTTTATTATTTGTTTTACATTAGTTTACATTAGTAATAAACTTTATTAGTGCTAATGTGCATTCTTGTTAGTATTGGGATGACGCTAGAGCCAACGGTGTATAAGAACCCTCGTGGCCAGTCTTGGAATTAATGATAGCTGATGGAGTGGTGTTCTACAGCAGTGTTCTACCTATCCATTATTTTTCATTTCCAACCACTTTCTAACCTGTGTACCTCATACAAAAACTTTCTCACCTGTAGACCTTGTCTCACCTGTAAAAAGTTTGTTGATCATGTGTCAGAATGGTACAGCTCTTACGAACTCACAGCACCGCTCCTGTGCCAGGTATGTCCACTACGGGCTCACCATAGCCCGTGCTACTTGGAACTTGTTCCGAGTAGCTGAATCTATAACAACGACAACAACTTGTGAACTCCCCATAATTGGGTGATACCCGCACATGGTGAGGGTATGATACCCGTCCAGTAGCAAACAGTCCTCTTAACAGAACGTCGCATTTTGACGTATACTCTAGCTAAGGCCAAAAATTGTCGTAGTAGAAAATGGTAGCGGCTCATGAAATTGACATATTGTCCCGTTTTCTGTTCTGGGTCCTCTGGTAGGTTAGGATTAGGGGGGCACTGTAGTACGACAATTTCTTGACGTTTAGAAACCTTAAGTGGACGGACTGCACCATCTACACGAGTTGACTGATGCTTCACCAACGTGGACACTCTTCTCCCCTAGACACCCGAGATAAATGGTGATGACCACGACGGTAAAGAAAGCTTCGCTGACTTCATGTAAAATGCAGGCGATGAGTCACAAAAACGTGGCTAAAGTATGTTGACCAGACCACACACTAGAAGGTGAAGAGACGACGATGTTTTGGTCCGTCCTGGACCATTCTCAAGTCGACTCAGAATGCTTCATGTAAAATGTATAGTGGTCTATGGGTGTCCCCGGCGTCCACACATTACCATTCACTTCATTGAATTCTACAGATCCTCATACAAGCCGAACTGCCAGAGATCCTTGCAGCCAAGTCCTAGAGTCTCGCTGTGTTAACATTTACCTGACTGAGCGTGAGTTCCTTCCTGGTATTGATTAGTGACTGTCCAGTCCACTACGGGCTCACCATAGCCCGCGCTGCTTGGAACTTTTTGTTCCAGGTAGCGAATCTTAAACAACAACAACAACATTTTCCTTAACAGGAAAACAAATGTTAATAATTTACTATTAATGTACGCTTTGCGTGTATTTTTCCGAATACGATATGTTTATTTATTTAAATGCTAACAAATACGATATACAGTTTTTAATTTTGGTGAGTAAATGGTACATTTTCAGTCACTAATTAACATGCATAGCGTTGCTTGGTCTGTCAGGTTAAGCACGCATGGGTCTGACCAGTGATTAGATAGGTGAGCGCGCGGATACAGCCTAAGTTGGGTAATAGCATCGACAAGTCACTCCTCTCGCTCTAAACATAAAGTATCTTCAGCAATAACAGACATGTTAAACAGACAACATTCATGTCAAGCCCCTGTGGCCCAATGGATAAGGCACTGGCCTCCTAAGCCAGGGATTGTGGGTTCGAGTCCCACCAGGGGTTCGTGTGCGTTTTCTTTTTAAGTGAATTTTTTATGGAAATTTATAAATTACTTAAATATTAAAGCTTTCTTTGCATAGCATTTTGGTGCAATTCTAATTTATAAGAAACAGCTTATAAATAGTTTCTATCCACGGAGTTTATGAACTATTATTTATTAATTCATTTAAATCGAGTCTATTCTTGACAATACATCATTGCTTCCAAGTTTATGTGTGCCTATGTGTACATTACTTCCAGTATATGTGTACCTATGTGTTCATTGCTTCCAGTATATGTGTGCCTATGTGTACATTACTTCCAGTGTATGTGTGCCTATGTGTACATTACTTCCAGTATGTGTGCCTATGTGTACATTACTTCCAGTATATGTGTGCCTATGTGTACATTACTTCCAGTATATGTGTGCCTATGTGTACATTACTTCCAGTATATGTGTGCCTATGTGTACATTACTTCCAGTATATGTGTGCCTATGTGTACATTACTTCCAGTATATGTGTGCCTATGTGTACATTACTTCCAGTATATGTGTGCCTATGTGTACATTACTTCCAGTATGTGTGCCTATGTGTACATTACTTCCAGTATATGTGTGCCTATGTGTACATTGCTTCCAGTATATGTGTGCCTATGTGTACATTGCTTCTAGTATATGTGTGCCTATGTGTACATTGCTTCTAGTATATGTGTGCCTGTGTCTAACGTTCATTAGAGTTACTATTGAATTTGAACATCTTTCAGGAACCAAGTTGAGACCTTGAGTGAGAGTTCACCAGGTTGTACGGTGCCCTAATTAGTGATGTAGGGTCAAAAAGGAGGGCGGGCTGGTCGAAGCAAGGTATAATTACAACGATCAATTATTTAACTTGTGTTTATACTGGCAAAATGAAGGGTGGCTGAGCGCCACACGTACATCTATCCCACGGTCATGTCCACACTATAAATCTAGAGCAGGGGCCAGATTCACGAAGTAGTTACGCAAGTACTTACGAACGTGTACATCTTTTCTCAATCTTTGGCGGCTTTGTTTACAATTATTAGACAATTAATGAGCTCTGAATTGCCAGGAGGTTGTTTACAATAACAACAGTTGATTGGGAAGTTTTCATGCTTGTAAACTGTTTAATAAATGTATACAAAGCCGCCAAAGATTGAGAAAAGATGTACAGGTTCGTAAGTTCTTGCGTAACTGCTTCGTGAATCTAGCCCCTGACCTGCACCTCGCCTGCTTCTCAACACTGCATGTACGAGCCATACGACCAATTTGATCTGTGGAATATATGACTTAACATTTTTGGCATTATATGTGTGTGTAGATAGATATAAGACGTGCGTACTATCTCAACGGATATGTCTCATTGTGTACATTTTCTATGCATCGATTGGTTAGGTTAGGGGGGTTGCTGAGGTTCGTGCGTTGCATTCAAGAGAACAACCTGAGAGTTGTTGACGGCGGGGTAGAAGAAACATCAAGATGGGCGCAGACTTTATCTGTAGATAACGTTTTACCTGTAAGGACTTCTTGAAGTCTTAAACCAGTACACATGAGCTAGTGCTTATGAAGCGGGGAAACGGTGGACGGATGAAGTCCAAGGTTACAGGCACTTGGCGGTTCGTCTCACCCAACTTTTCAATATGACACAAGGGGGTTATAGGAGTATCATAGGCCAGCCGGGATCGGTCCTAACGCCCCCCCCCCCCTCCCTTTTTAAGAAATATCGGCTCCTATTTTGTCCTGAAGTCTGGTATAGGGGATTTATTTTCCGTAAAGTGTTAGCAATTTTTCGCCTGTTGTGGCTTTATGTGACGAATCTCCCAATCCTGAGCGTTGCAGAGTTACGGGACGGGGCCAGGTTAGAATAGTGATCTTGCAACAGAAGAAGCCGTGGCAAGATCACTGCTTTAAATAACATTACCATCAAAAGAAGCTATTAAAAAAAAGCAGTGGTCAAAGTTTCCGGGACACCGAGGCAATTCCCCGGTCTCCAAGGCCGACTTTCCTCAGGTCATTACTGCAGATATAATAATCACCAGATATCCCGGTTAAGGTGATGACTTTAATGGACGAATTTAGCTGATCAATAATGCTGTCCAGTATTTCATGTGAATTGGTGTAAATCGCAAGAGGGGCAGACATCCAGTCGGAATAAAATAATCTTGTGTGTGTTGACGCGAAAAGAGTTAACCTCTGGCTTGGTCTGTTACAAATCAGAAAGCGGGGAAAACCGAAGCTTGAGATAACATTAATGTGGCCCCCACTCAGGCAGGCGACTTAGTGCAGATACTGGTAGCTGAGGTAGAGGTGGCATACCTCTTTGGAATCTTCTCCCGCGTGAATCTCTTTCCGGACTGGTAGCCAGGGCGCACAGATGTGAACTCGAGAGGGTTCTGTTTCTAATATACGTGAACGACATGTCTACAAGAGTCGAGTCCCATTATGTCGATGTTCGTGGATGGTACGAGATTAATGAGACGAGTTGTGACAGATGAGGATTGTAGGAGACTCGAAGAAGACTTGAACAAGCTGCAGAGATGGTCAGAGGCTCACAGGGCGCTATCTTTATTATCACCAGGTTATCTACCTCAGCGACAGTGATACCAGCGTTAATGGAGAAAGAGGAGGCTGACAGCCTGCACCTGCAGTGGACATATCGATGGCGGTGGGTACAGTGGTGACGTTGGGAGTGAGGACGTTGTGCTCTTGTCCAGGCAGGAGCGGACGCAGTAAAAGTAGATGATAATTTTCTTGGCCGTCAGCAGTGCATATCTAAGTGTCATGTGGTTGCGGCCGAGACGGAGGAGACACACTTGCTTCCACTTCCGGTCTCTCTGGTACAGCGTGAGGCTCCAAGACACGCAACACCAATAATCATTCTGGAATACATTCAGTCGCCTCAGGGCTGCTTTACTTGTCAAAACATACAGCCCTAAATCATTGTCTAATTTAGGTCTAATCAAGGCCTTATACTCCATTGCTAATTCCTGTCACCTCAAGCTCCCAGCGAGTTCGGGTAAGCTACTTCAAAATACTATATTTAGTAACAAAGTACTCCGTGTGTGTTTTCCAGGTGAGTCTGTCATGTACAAATTAAAACCAAATATTATCATAATAATCAAGGCCAGTTCGCAACGGCAGCATCACGTAGCAATTTAATCAACAAAACTGCATCAGTATTCCCCACTACACTCACTAATTACCCCGAAACCATAAATTAACAACCCGGTCTGAATACCACATCGCATTTAGACGTATAAGTTCTCCTGTACAAACTGATGTATTAAAAATGGTAACGGTTCGCGAAATTTATGTGTTGTCCCGTTTTCTGTTCCTGGGGCCTCGGATAGGTTAGGTTTAGGCAATTTAATACAACAGTTTAGTGACATGGGGGACACTCGGGAGTACTGGTTGAAATTCGAACCCCCTAGAGTTTGAGAGCCGACTTCGTCCAACCTGTCCTCCTACAAAGAACGTCGCTTTTCGCTCGTATGCGTTACATCAGGCCAACAATTGCACTAGAAAATGGAAACGGCTCGCGAAAGTAACGTACTGTCCCGTTTTCTGTTTTGGGTACTCTGGTAGGTTAGGAAAGGACACTTTAAATTGACCGTTTTCTTGACGTTTGGAGACCTTAGGAGGACGGAGTGCTTCACCACAGAGTTCAGTGTTGGTGTGTGTGTGTGTGAACATCCACATCCAAGGGATATGAGGACGATATAATTCATATCTAAGGGATATGAGCATCATATATCCAGCTCAAGATGTGTTCTAAAAATACATGTGTATGGAATATAGCCTCTCTCTGAAGCCTTGATAAAAATATATTTATTTAACAAACGGAGTATTTTTACTATAATTTTACTAACACTAACTAGTATTTAACTCACTCGTTGCGGTGATACTGTTTAGCTATAAATTATTTAATATGAAAATTTACATTGGAAAAAAAAAGAGTATGTAAAACAGAAGCATATTGAAAATTTAAGCATAAAAAGTTACTTTTTATTTATTTATTTATTTATTTATTTATATACAAGACATTACATTGGGTTTATGAGAGTGCAGAGCATTGTAGTTTTACTTTCTTGTAAAGCCACTACTAGCACGCATAGCGTTTCGGGCAGGTCCTTGTACATAGTACGTGAATAACCCAGGGACACCCACCCTGCATTGTCCATAGACCATAGTCATGCATAGTCCAAGACTCTATTATTGCAAAAATTAAAACCAACTGAAACAATATGCTACTGTGATTGTTATGATGTATATAGAACGCACAAAAAATATAATGTTATATCATAAATAAAATAATTTGATTGCGAAATAAGAAGATAATGGACGGCGCATGACGTCAAAAGGAAGTCGACGGTGGGCACAATTCTTCGACTTTCTTTCATCTTATTACATTTGTTTTTAGCCTTATTTCGCTATAAAGGACCTAATTTCTGATTAAAATAATTTTGTTCACGTTTTATATTAAATGCAATTATCACAGCATTTGGGTATTGTTTGTGTAATTTTTAGTGGCATGAGATAGACCCTTAGAGAACATTGTGGGTGGATATAGCCTTAGAGCTATAGGCTATACCCACCCATATACTAGCTATATGGGTGGATATAGCCTCAGAGAACATTGTGGGTGGATATAGCCTCAGAGAACATTGTGGGTGGATATAGCCTCAGAGAACATTGTGGGTGGATATAGCCTCAGAGAACATTGTGGGTGGATATAGCCTCAGAGAACATTGTGGGTGGATATAGCCTCAGAGAACATTGTGGGTGGATATAGTCTTTGGCTTATTCTTTAGATCTTACAGCACTCATCTGTTTGCTTAACGTTTGTACATGCATCTCCTATTTCTACATGTTATTTTCCTTCGGACTTTGATTTACTTAATAATTTATAGCGTAAACAATATTTAATCCCCCTGAATAAAATAATATATTAGTTTAAATATTTCCTCTATTGAATATACTCCTTTATGTTCACAAGGATTCTTGGGCAGGTCTATTAATGGGGGAGTATAATGTGAAACTCTCTTGGAGCTGCACGTTCTGAATTCAAATTTGCGTGCAAATTACTTCATCAACTCGACCCGTCCTCTCACCTAATACATCGGATTTTTTTTTTTAAATTTGGCCCCGAAGGGCGAGTTTATTGGGCAGTCACTCATCCCGTGAGTGAACATACCGCCATCACAGCATGTACAGCACCATCCCCCCCCCCCAGTAGGAAGAACACCAACTGGGTTGTTCTTCCTGTTATATCAGGCTTTTATACAAAATAAAAAACACCACAATATGGACTTTTTGTTCTCGCTTCTGTTATGCAGCCAAGATTACCGGGTAACATAATAGAAGCGGGGTCACAGTCCATTACGGGCTCGCCATAGCCCGTGCTACTTGGAATTTTTTGTTCCAAGTAGCGAATCTTAAACAACAACAACAACAGGGTGGATATAATGGGAGGAGCCACGTATGGGCCAGTAGGCATTCTGCAGTTTCCGTGATTCTTATGATCTTATATATAATTAATGTACATGATAATTGTAAAAGTACAACAGACCTGAAATTTTCTGATAATGTAGCTTATTAAATTTTGAGCTGTTTATCTATTATTTACAAGCCTGTTTAAGCACAGAATGAGTACTTAACATAAGGGGCCAGATGTTCCCCTTAATTTCCCTGACATAAGTAGCCTTGAAGTTCAAATCATTGTTTTGAAGTTGGAATTCAGAGCTGGAGTAAATATCACTGGAGCGTGCAGCGACTTTGCTAAAGAATGCAACAGGGAAGCCAATCTCCTCTCCTTCACCGATATTATTTACTTCATAGAAAACGCCGAGTTATCTCGATATAGTACACTAGCGTCCAATTTCTTCTTCCCTTTAGTATGGCAATCCAAATAGATTCGCAGTTATGATGTTTTATGCAGGCGATGAGTCACAATAACGTGGCTAAATTATGTTGACCAGACCACACACTAGAAGGTGAAAGAACGACGACGTTTTGGTCCGTCCTGGACCATTCTCAAGTCGATTGATCATTCTCAATCGACTTGAGAATGGTCCAGGACGGACCGAAACGTCGTCGTCCCTTCACCTTCTAGTGTGTGGTGTAGTCAATATGATGTTTTAAGTAGTGTGTGAGGTATTGCTCTGTTGATCTCAGCTCTCCTTGGCGACTTTAATTGACTATGGAACAATAGAATATTAGAACAGAAGAAAAAGAACCGTTGAACTTGCGACAGAACCTGAACCCCCCCCCCCATGTTTGGCCTCTTGTTGCTGCCACTGAGTCAGTACACAGAATTGCTGTTGACTGCGTGCTGGAGCCTGGTTGACGTCACGACATATTGGGAGGTGACTCGTATCACCGTGTCAAGAGATTCAATTACTATCCAAACGTAATTTAAATATTGCGTAACATTGCAAAATAATTGTTTTTTACTAGTATTTTTTTGTCTTGATCAGTACAAGTTATAATTATTCTTTGTGAGGACGACGTAAAGTTAAATATAAATCCGAAATTTGCTAATATATTTTGCTGCTTATTCGACTTATTATAATATCCAGTGGTCGGGGACTGGAAGCCTCCGAGGCTTATCGAAGCCCCCAAAGTAAAAAAAAAAACTAATCTTCCCAAGCATGCAACCCACAACAGTCGAATAATTCTCGGCTACCTGTTTTCTGCTGGGAGAACAGAGGTATCAGGTGAAAGGAAACATGCCCAACCGTCTCGTCATGGACCGGAACCCAGCGACATCTCGGTTGTGAGCCGACAGCGCTAACTACTGTACTACAGTCAATGAGGAGACATAATAACGAATTTAAATATAATTTGTATAACAAATATGAATACCTATTATATAATAGTGTAATCCTCCTTAGTATTTTTTAACAAAATAATTACAAATTAATCAAGTCATTTTAGTTAAAATGCAGGAAGGAGTTACAACACAAAGGGAAGGTATGCTTGCAGTAAATGCCTTCACTTTAAGCAATTGAACGTACAATCACCGTAATGACAATACACTTAAGTAATTACACTTGAGGTAATTACATCGCTTAGGTAATTACGCTTGAGGCTCGTAATTCAAGAGTAACCTAATTACCTGATCTCTCTGAAGAGGCCCAAGTTTTTGATGACCAAAAGTTATAACAGTAGTCAATATTTCTTCATCTCGATCGCGTGCTACAGTAGAAGCATATGGAATTGTTCTTAATTAACTGTTTTCTAGTTATAAGTAATTCAATGTAAGAATTTATACCTATTACACATATTTTCCCCCCAGTGAATTTAAGCAACTTATTTGTTAACATTGTTGGCTTCTCTTCCTCCGGCGCAGGTTAGTCACCCCTCATCACACTTATTTGTTATCAGTTAGTCTACTACGGGCTCGCCTTAGCCCGTGCTACTTGGAACATTTTTTTTCCAAGTAGCGAATCTTAAACAACAACATGTTATCAGTTAGTATATCATTTCTCAACACACGTGTTATGAGGATAGCAACTTGGTGTTATCTGAGTCATAGTTATGTACACTGACAGGTGCACCTCGCTTGGCGGTGGATATCTGGCCTGTTTTCTCCTAATACTCATTCCATAACGTGGCATTTATTCACATTACATTCCATGAGCCACGTGTTGTTCCATACTCTTATTTTGTCCAGGTCATTTTGAAGGGCCTGACAATCATCTAGGTTTCTTATCATCCCTAGTAGCGTAGCATCATCAGTTAACATGTTCATATAATTCTGTATTCCTTCTGGTAGATCGTTCATGTAGCCAATGAACATTACTGGTGGTATTCCACTGGTGATGTTTCTCTGCCTTTGATTACCGCATTCAATTTTCTCTACGTTAGAACAATTATCAGTTATATCAGAAGTCTTCCTGTCACCCATCGTGTGTGTGTTCAGTTTCCAGAACAACCACTAATGAAGGACTTTCAAAAGCTTTTTTTTTTACGTCCAGATAAATGCCGTCAGTTCAACCATCTCTTTCCTATCAA